CAGGATTATTGATTTATTTGCCAGCGCCTGTGAATTTTACCTTGAGGGTTGTCTGTTGTGGCGTAGGTTGATACTGTTGCTTTATCTGTAATAAATACGCTTCACTATATCTACTTGAGTTTAAATAAATTGCTTCCTGCCCACCAGAAACATTTCTCCTGAGTTTTAGCCCATTAACTAGGTTTGAGATTTAGTACAGATCTTATACTTAGAACTCCAGAGTCTAGCAGTTTGGATACTGAAGAATATATTTGTTATGTAAATTCATGTTGGCTTGGGCTTTGTCTGAAATTGTTATTGTATTCCCTCCCTATATGGGTAGTAAACATTCAGTCTATTACACTATAGTGAGCCGTTTGTGCATCTAGAAGCAACTTTCCATATTGTCACAACTAATAACAGCCTTTTATGGACTACAAACAATTGTAGTCCATAAACACTGTAAAAAGCATGCTCAAAGCTATCATGGTTGCTAGCTAGAAACATGCTAAAGCTAGAAAGTGTACTTTTTGGTGAATTTATTCCGGTATTTTACTGAAAATTGTACATCATGTCATACAACTAAGTCTTACTAGAGAAAAGAAAGCTTAAAACGTTTCAGTTTGTGAAGTAGTTTACAGTATAGCTGTTAATGTTCCAACGCTTCTAAAATGGTAGTGACTTTCCAAACGCTTTACATTTGAATCTGCTTAATACCGTCAGAAAAATATTCAACCAAACAGCCTTTTTGGTTCCTTTGTTGCCAAATTACCATAAGAAGCCACACTTTTGATTCATTGCACATGGATCATAACCATGCCGAAAGACGTCAAGAGGCTTTTAGCCTGATTATTATGTGCACTTTTAATTAGGAAGCTGTATGCTGATATTTCTAACAGCAAAGACAGTTGAGGATATCAGACAACCTCGCATAATCTATTTGTTTTATCTTTATCCTTTTTTCCTGCCGCGCATCCATTTAAAATCAGAGTAAAACTTCAAAGTCCTTTTTAAAGCTTGAATCAAACAACAAAATGATCATGTGAGGAATCCTATTGACAGTACATTTCCTTAAAGATAATTTAGAATTCTGTTGGGTTCTCAAGCCTGCTGCAACTTGAGGCATCAATCACATAAATAGACTTTTCTCCAGAGAACTACTGTGAAGCAGAGTCTCACGGTGGTTACAGTTTTGAAGAAACAGCTTAAGGTTGACCCTTTGCTGGTTGTCTCCAATCAACTCAAACACACAACATGTCTACAGAAAGGAAAAGAACTGTGCAGTGCTGAAGATGAGAGCCGAAACCTGTTACACTGACGCTTCTTCACACTTCCCCCTGGTGCAGGAAATTAATGCACAGCTCTTGCCAAGCACATCAAGCTGTTGGTCCAGGCTTGGAGTATCTAGGACAGGCAACACGAACGTCAAATAAAGTCCCAACCCATTACTATTATCTCCCATAACACAGGCCGAGTGATGACTTCCTGCAGTTAAATGGACTCCGTGCCAATCCCATTAGCAAACAGAAAACTGCTTGGAGTAGATTCCCACAAATTGTCAATTTGGAATTCCATGTCTTGTCTTGAGGCGGTGACACAGGAAATTAGCCTGATATACACTATGTATTTTGTTTGCATGCAACGTTACATTCCCCTGCACTCTACTGTAAGTCATGCTTCAAATTTTAGCTTGAGATTTAGCCGCCCCCTCTCAGCTAGGAAGATGTCAGACTGTACCAGGTAAACTGTACTTTTCACTTCAGTTACTGTTAAATGACATTTCTCCCATACAAAAACCTGAACCATCGAAACTTAAGGACATCATAATCATTGTTACGATAAATCTGTCTGCTTCGAGCCGACATTCTCAAGGCGGCATCGTCCAACTGAAGGTTTTCTTCAACAATGGGCCATTATATTTGCTAATGGGAGTCCTTGTAAACAGTGTGCTTACCCCAAAACCATAGTTACTTTTTTGCTTACTGTATTATTTAACCATTGTATGCACTGGATTTGTCAGGCATAGACCAGACATATGTATAATGCAGAATCGGCAGCATATTCAATACATATTGGTTTCATATGAACTATTCAAGCAAGGGTTTTCCGTTAGGGTGTGCCACTTGGGGAGTACAAAAAGCAGCAGGGTCAAAGTTACTGAGGTCATTTATGTGAGGTTCCAGTGTTTCTTTGTCCCATTCAGAGCAAGAGATGTTCTTAAGGACACATTTTGCTGTTAATAAGACGTTGTTTATGTTTATACTTAGATTATTCGACTAGTTTAAAAAAGGAAACGGTTTTATAATACTCATATATTGAAGACTATTGACACTTATCTAATTTAGAGCTCATGTTGTCTGATGTAGCTTTATTTCTGACTCCTGTGTCCTGTGATAGAGATTAATTACTTATAAAAAATAGGAACAAACAGCACCACTGACATGAGCTTGTTCTACATGAAAACATATTTGGCACCACGTTTGGCTCTTTTACCAAAGGATAAAGACACAATAAGCTCCCGTGAAAGAGGTTGATATTTCCGTATTTGACCAGCCTGGGTTTGAGATTTTATCCTACCCTTTCCTGCTTTATTTGAGTGCCTCTCTGAAAGGTGACCTTTCTCAATGCACCCTTCACTCTTCGGATCTATATCACTCCAAAGGTAAATTGAAAACCATTTATCATTTCTGGATTATCCTCCAATGTCACACTGAGCTTTCTAGCACCTTTCATCAGGGCGCCATGTTCTGCTCACAAAGAAAGCTGGGTGAATTACACAGAAGAAAAAATAAATAGAATAATTTATGGCCTTAAGGCTTTTATAGCTTTGCTCACAAAAGAGCTCTAAGAGTTGAGCTGAAAATACCTATATATATATACATACTCCGTCGTCTGGAAATGGGAAACTACTTAAATCAGCTTTTCACTAACGTCCATAGCAACACATGGATTTATTATACAATACAATCCCTTTCATTCTTTTATGCTGTTTGGACCGAGGCTTCATGCTGCTCGGTATTATGCTGTACTTTCTCTTGGTTCCCGAATGCAACAACCCCTGATAAAAGCAATAGGCCATATCATAGCTTTAACCTGCTGATCAGGCCTCTCAAATGGAAAGAGCCAGTGTTCCCTATGGTTTGTGTTGCATGGGAGGAAGAATAGAAATGGACCAGGGGTTAAGAACACTGGAAGATAAACGAGCTGTCTGTGTTGCTTGGGGTGTGACAAAGAAGCCTTGTCCATTTTCTTATACGTTACAGTGTTGACTTCCATGACTAAACCCTGGCTGAAGGCGGCCATGACAAATGATGTAGGAATCGGTAATGGCACACATAACACAGTTGGGGCACCTGCGGCATTAGAGGGGCGGACGAAGCACGTTGTTAGCTGGAATTACAGATGACTTAACAGTGTGGAGCTTTGGAGCCTTACAGGTGTTGAATAGCTGAGTAACATCCAGTACAGCCAGACAGAAGTTGTGATGGTTTGCCCTTTTTTTTTTGCTGTGTTGATCTGGAGCACAATGAAGGCAGTGGTGGTGAACCAAAACAGTAAGCACATTGGTGTAAATATAATATAAATGACAACTGAATTCAAATGAGCTGCCTCGGTCTCAGGGTCCAGGTATCACAAATAGAATTCCACTCTCACACTTCCGAGCCATCGTTAATGTTATTAGCAACACCTGTGCTTTCCTGACGATGACTAATAGCGCCCTGTGACATCATACGCGTAATGCGATGAAGCTCAGTGCACCCGCACAGCTGGTAGTAATTATCTGCTATCTCCTAGCATCTCAACCTGCTGGTAGATTTAATTAAAAACCAAAAACTGGAAAGGTTAAGGCTTTTTTATGGGTAGGAATTCTTTCATTTTCTCATTATCTGTGTATTTCCTGTTCTTTTTGTTCCAAAAGCCCATCCCCAAAGTACAACAATAGAAGAGGAACCTACTCACGATCCCTGAATTTTGAATTACTTATACTTTACTTGACTATTTCCTCCTCCTTTATAATTATTATAATACATTTTAAAGCGATTTTTTTACATTTTCCGTAATGCAGCATCTTGAACGATTGAACTGTTTATGGTACAAAGAGGAAAAAATGATCTTATATTTTAAAAAGTTAACAAAGAAAGTCGTAAACATGAATAATTTGCGGATCAGAATGTAACTTATATGCTACTTAATGAAACATTATAATACAAATATATATATTTTTATCACATTTTGAAGTACTTTTACTTTAAATTGGCTTATAGTATTTTTACTAGCAGTTTTGCCAGCAGTATTTTTAAATGAATATATAGGTACTTTTACCTTAATAAGAGACCCGAGCCCCTATCTTCCACCACTGTAAATATATGAGGTTTTGCTCTTCCTCATACCCGGAGAGTATCCTCTAACTGATATCCATTTCAACAGTAAACAGCTTTCATTAATATTCAGGGGACATGGCGTATTCCTGTGTGCGCTCTCGCTGGGTAAAATATTGAAAAAGCCTCATGGGCTTGTCGACGGCCCGAGAAAAAAACAAATACTTTCTGCTTCTACACAAGTCCACGTCTCTGAAGGATAAAAAAAGACGAGCGCTTTAAAGTTATGGCAGCTTCTGTTGCTATGGCAATCACTCCCGAGCCTCTTACTCATCCCGGTACGAGAAAGTGCGAGTTTGAACTTCCTCAGGGCTTCTTGTCCGCCGAGGAATTTGATTCATGTATACGCATGGGGAAGTGGACTTGCCATTGTTTGTTGTTTTATTATTCATCTGCCTTTTTTAGTTCCCATCGCCGAGTACTCACAGTCCAGCTCGCCTCTGCTTAAGATGTGAAAGTGTTTCAAACTTCAGTGGAGAGCGAAGAGTCCGCAGGCACATACTGTTTACCACGCTGCATATTTAATACCAGAATCCATTTTTTAAAGATAATTTTTTTGCCTTTATCTGAAAGTTGAAAGGGCGAGCCCTAGACTTTTTTATTGAAGAAATCACACATAACATCATGTTTTTCCCCAATATTTATTTTGGTTAAATAATGGACATTTGTCATGAAAATACTGCACATGTAGCCGGTAACCATAATAACTATATCAGACTGGATATACAGTGAAAGCTAAACATCACAAACATCAATAACCTCACATTTAGAACCTTGCACAGACATGACAGTATTTCCTGTTTCAACTAACAGACATTTACACATATTATAGTATTACAATGTAGCACGAGCAGGCACCAGATGTGGTCAAATGTAAAAAGAATTCAGCAGAGACTGCTTTAGTAAACATTTAGCGCATGTAGACGCACACACACAGACATCTTTCACCGTCAGGGAAGGATGTCCAACACCATAAATACCATTTCATCAGCTCTTGCTCAGTTTGTTTACCGTTCCTTCTCTCAAAAGGCTGAGACTTACATGTTAACACTTTTCCTCAAAAGGTGTTAGAAACAACTAAAATCTTCCCGTAAATAAAATCGACAAAAGAAAGCTCACAAAGACACAATTTCCCTTTGTTTCAACAAGGAGGTACTCTGTAAGGCTGAGTAAAACATGGAAACAATTAGCTATGTTTCTCAGGTTCAAAACCTGTAGACCAAAAACAAAATGTTTCATTCTGTGCCTGAGGTAAAACTACAAAAATCACTCGCTGCAATTATGAATTATTATACAAGAAGAACAAAAATATAAATCCAGCAGAGGCACATTTTACGGGCAGCCGTTCCCCGGGAAGCCATTATAAATAATTGAGAAACAATTTCTTCTAATTTACTTATGAGAGATTTGTCTACCAGCGGGAACACCTCCCAACAAACACTCTTCAGGAATGAAGAAAAGCAGCTTTGTTTGTGGCATTTTTAAGTTTTGCAAGCTTAAAACGACTGTGTTATTCTTCAGTTAATACATAAAAACCCTCCATAGTAAGAGCAAACTGATAATGAGCATCTTAAAGAACCGGCCCCACCACAGACATGAGGAGGATCCTATATACAGATAAGTGACATTTATGAAATATGACGCTACAGTTGATATTTTGTGCTGTCCCTTCTTTAGTGTCCCCTCGAGACGGTCACAAATTGTTCCACATGTTTGGTTTGGCGTAAAGTGTTTTGCTCTCTTTTTTCCTTGTGCCGCCTGGAGCGCCTAATGGGATTCTTGTTGAGGGAGGTGGAGATAAGAGAGGAAGCGGCTGTGCTCCCGTGCCTCCGTCTCATTTCACTTTCAATTTGCATCAGGCACTGTTCTGGGGACAGGGTAGGAATTTGATTCCTCACCCCTAAAGTGGATTTGTCTGTAAACTAACTTAGTAAATAATCAATTACTTTTGTAGCCGGCTTTTTAAAGTTACAGTACTGCCCAGAGGACTGCAGTGGTGGAGGTGCTCCATATAAAGGAATAATTAGAAATATTGGATCGTATATTTTAGGGTTCATGATTTGTTCAAAAGAAAACCAATAAACCTTAAATTCTCTGATTGCTATTGTGATATGATCTGAAACATCATTGAACAAAAATATTTAAAAAATGTAAGGATCTGGAATACTTCATTGCGATTTGGATATTGCACTTGTCCATATTTTGCTACAGTATAGTATATCAATAATCTGATATATTAAGCTGCCCTATAAGCAACCGTTAGCTTAGTAAGTAGAAGCAGCGGGTTACAGCTAGCCCGACGGTTTAAAATCCCAAGTAAAATGTTATTTAATCATTTCTAAAAACACGGTACGGAATTGTGTTTTTTTAATACCGTTTTGTGTTGGCAGGGTGGTTCATTTAAACATTTTTAAGGTCTGATAAACTTTCCCTTACTCCAACTTTACAAACAAGATATCACGTGTAAGTTATTAAGCTAAGGAATGCAAGGCGTACTTTCTTAAACTTTGGACCGAGGCGAGCATCGTGGAGATTTGCTGCTTTTTAATAATTCATAGCCTGCTGGCCTGCCGAGGTGAATATAAAAACAGATATAATATTCAATAAAAACAGTTCATTTTAGAGAGCAAATCTCTGCCTCTCAGGGAGCTTTTGCCTACACTTTAGGTGAGCAAGGTTACCTGAAAGTGTAAGCACTGCTCATCCATAATGCACCGAGATGTACTTTGTGAAGGTATGAATCTACAGGCCAAGAAATTACAAAAAAGCTCTGGATAAGAAGCTTATTGTTATTATTTGTACTCCGCTGTAAGACCCTTAACCATGTGTTACTCCAATTTCTAACACAAAAAAAGACCTGTGAAACAATTAATATTTGATGACAGATAAAAGTGCACTAGTGAAAGAGAATCCTGACTAAATTCACGAGGCTGGCTCACAAAGATATGGAAATTGCCTCCTTCCTTAATTTCAAAAGCGCACATGGAGTGCAGGCCGCCAGATGAGGTGTTTACAGCCAGCCTTCATGTAGGATTTTTGAGTGCCAATTGCCCTCCTGCCCCCTCCGACACCGCCTGTAAACTGCTCTTGGACAGCGCCCGGGCGCCTGCTAATCTAAGCTGTCACCCACACGCCATTCCCATTGATGTATTCATACGCCTCTGCATTGACGGGGATAAACAGGAGGGAGGTGGGTGTGTGGGTGGGGGGCTGCAGGGACGTGAATGATGGAGGACATGAAGAAGAGGAGCAGACTTAAAAGTGATGAAACAACAGCCTTCATACAGTATGTAGGACAGAAAGTTATTACATCATATTGTTTAACTCAAATACAGATATTTTTGAGTTGTAGCGGTAACATTCAGAGTCTCTTTATATATTTATACAATGTGAAAGTGTTCACTGCAACAGTATCATGGCCATATTTTGGCCGAATTGACTGAATTCAAATGAGGTAATGAGTAATTTGTAGTTTCATCGAGAACATCATGTCCTGTTTTTAAAATAATATCTACTGCTTGCTTATGGACCTAGAAATCATGATACAAAACAAGTCTATCTTAATATTGTAGACAGCGGTAAGCTTAATTAGCGAATCCTACTTTCCATGTTAACAAGATCTTTATGCTAAGCTAACCAGCTGCTTGCTGTTACTTCATATTTAGCACACTCTCAAGTAAGTGAATGAGCTGATATCCCAAATGGTTTGTCTCGTAAAAAGACTGTCTTAAACTATCATTTTCCTTAACTGGTTTCACTTTTATTGTACTCGCTGTATTTCTATTATTATACAGGACTTGTTTTTGACAAACAACTCTTTTCAACTGTACAGTAGCTCAGGTTGAGTTCCTTGTCTCGAATGAAAGATGCTATTTATGTTGTTTTGCAGCGTCAGAGGGGCTAGTTGTCAGTTATTAGTTTTCTGAAGACATAGCCATGAGTTTTGCAGGAGAGGAGAGGGTCCCTGAGAAACACCTCGTTAGCCTACGCCTGGAAACGGGCTCTTTGTACTTAGGTAAGGTTCAGAGTAATTGGCAGCACTGCAGCAGAACGCAGCGCTTGTACATAAAAGACACCGCAGAGATAATTGAGCAGAAAAGGTGAGTCTGACTTAAGCACTTCTCCGTACCATGTGTAGCAGGGGCAGACTGGAGCAACTGGCAAGTGCAATCAACCTTTCATAGATTGACTATGTGCACTTTCCTCTAACAACTCAAATCCTGAAGGTAATGTCATCATCAGTATTCAACAGACATGTGTAGCAGTCGCAACAGGAGACTTTAGTTTGACTTTCCATGCTGCAGTCAGTGTGGTGCAACGCAAGACTATTGCCAGATTCAAAACATTCTCATTTGTGCTGTGCCAAGAAAAAGGCTACAGTCCTTAGATGTTTATCGTCAAGATGAACCTTCCTTTTCAAACTGAACCGAGAAGCGGTGCTGCAAATGTTGGCGTGAGCAGAACATATGCTGCACACACAAGAAGTGATGAAACATAACTCTTTAAAAGCGAAACACTAAGTCAGAGCTAAGCAGGAAGTGTGTCCAGAATAAAATGCAGCCACTGTTCCCTTTTGAAATGTTTTGGTATAATAGACTGATTACTAAGAACCCAACGATTTTCAGAGTGGCCTTTCGTAGAATAATTCTGACAACTGCGAGAGATGCCCTGAATGACTAAAGATCGAACCACATTAAACACAAAAGGAAATGAAATCCATACTGATTCTTTACTGAGGTAATGAGTCCTCCTTGTTCAACAGTATGTCTCCATCAATAATATACCTTTGGCGCAGTAAGAACATAAAGACAGTATTTACAAGTACACAGGATTCCTATTTTTCAACGTCGCTAAAATGTCCGTCAGCCAGTGAACAAACTACCATGACAAACCAAGCCACACAAAGAGCACAGGCACTTGATGTTCTCTTCGGGATGCAACAAAGCGGATGCTGCTGATTAAACAGAAGACAAAATAATGTCACTAAACCGATCCGCCTCACATTCTGCAACCATGCACGCAGAACTTGAAGGAGACCTTTGCGAAAAAGCTTCATAAACCAGGGCTAGGACATTACTCAGAGAATGACTCATATCATATTAAGATGGAGATTGGAGAAAACAGATGGTGCACACAGTAACCCCTGCCCCCTGACACAGACTGATGCAAACACCAAGCTCTGCTTGAGGCTCAGCAGGGGGCGGTGGTGCAGACGTTGGTGTAGCTACATTTGGACATGGAGGTAGCCATGGACGTGCCCATGGAGGTGGCGTTGATGCCGTCTTCTCCTCCCTCCTTCTTCTTGCACCACCAGCGACATAGCCGGTTGCGGCAGCAGCAGGCGAAGGTGGACAACAGGGCCTTTCGGAATCGCATGTTCATGAAGCAGTAAATGACGGGGTTGACGCAGGCGGAGGAGTAGGACAGCAGTTGGATGAAGGAGATGGGGGCCCCTGAGAGGGCTTTGGAGGCTGACTTCAGGTCGAACGCCTTCCAGGTGTTGGCCGAGTACAGCGGCATCCAGCAGATGAAGAAGAGCGCCACGATCACCATCAGCATGCGGATGACTCGTTTCTTGGCCTGCAGCTTGGCCTCCGAGGTGTTTTTCCGGGCGCGCTCAGATTTGGCCTGGGCGGCGGAGATGGTGGGGAGCTCCACAGCGGAGGTGGGCTTTTTAGACACCTGGATGTAGCAACCATCGTCGTCATCGTTGGATACTGCAGCCGTCTTTCCTACACCGTTCTTCTGGGCTGTGGAGGATCAAAAAGTTTACATTTGAAGAGGTTTGGGTGGGTTTCAACATAGGGTTACCAAGAATTAGTGTTTTAAGTGACATTTGGATAGTCAGTGTTTGGACCTCCGTTAACTACCAGTTTGGAGAAACCGACAGGTGTAGCAACACAATGGCTAAGCCATGTACTGCTGTGGAGGAGGGCAGCAGCTAAATAGATTTGACCCACCTGAAAGAAAGGGCCAGCTAATAAATCCAGCTCAATGTAAGAATACACTGTATTCACCATATTTTCACTGCTTTACCTTTCTGTCAGACCTGTCCTAGAGGTGGGGAACTTTCTGTTTACAGTCCTCTCTTCAAAGCCATCATACTGGATTGACAAAAACACTAATTTGTTTTGCTTTTAAATCGATGGCAGAAAATGTATTAGTTGTAACCCTGTTATTATGTGCCTCTAGTTAATCCAAACTAACCCTTTAAAATGTCAAACTATAACACAAACAAACTAACTCATCAAGGCAGCGGTGTTCTTTTCAGTGGAGGCTGGTGAATGAAAAAGAAAGCATAAATAAAAGCTTTAGTCTCTTTTGCCAAAGGGCTGTCTGGCTGCAAGGTTAAGCGGTGCAAATATTCTAAACATACCATGGTGAAGGAAATATATTAACTATGGATTAGTACCCCATTCAACCCCACTTCAAAATATCCAAACTTTCCCTTTAACACATCAAATAATGATCATTATAAATGGGAGGATTAATTACAACAAGAACAAAACACTGCCTAAATACCAAAGATAAAAGTTCCCCATTTGCTGGACAACAAAGAAATAAAACACCATGTTAAGCCGTAGATAGCAGCTGCTACCGAAGGCTATTTAAGATCGTCTCAACCTTGATGAATCACACACAAGACTCCATGGAAACAGTTACGACAGCAGTTATAATTCGCCTTAAGGGACCCTATTTCAGCCGTAACGAAAAGATGTGTTCTTAATTAATGGAAAATACTAGCTGTAAGGCTGCAGAAAATTCCAAACACATAAAAATGACAGCTGAGAAGAAGTCTATTTGTGTACATGACAGGTGCGGTACCTGTAGTCGTGACAAAGTATGTCTCTGCTTGAGGCAAAACAATAAAACGTCCTTTCACAGTCATGCTGCATTATTATAATATAATGATATCATTACTGGCAGTTGCCATGTTTAACCAGACCCTGCTTTCGAATGTCACATACTGATGAAAGTCTAAAAGATGTTTTCATCCTCAGTGTGAATTAAATCAATGCAAGCTAAAAGCCTGTTGCAGTTTGGATTGGATTTGTGATGGATCTCACCGGCGGGGGTGCTCTCTCTGTTCTGGCCCACCTCAAAGTGAATGCCTCGGAAGAGCTCTCTGGAGATCAGACCGTAGGCTACAATCATCACAACTCCCGGGATGAAGAACAGAGTGAACAGCAGCAGCACATACCTGAAAGACAGCCAGAGTGGAAAAGAGAAAAACAACTCAGAGGTGTAATGCTGTGCAATCAACCCCTGAAACCAAACAAACACATCTAATTTCTGAGCTACTTTCTTTCCTCCTACGCCTTTGGCTATGTTGGGGCTGCTGGGGGTCTTGCAGATGGTTGACCCCTCCCCACAGCCCCATTTACCCCCGTGGTGTCTGGCAAAAGGTACTGCAGTATTCCAGGCCAGTTCTGCCCCTTTACCTGCAGGCTATCAAACTCTTCAGCGTCCTTTGGTTTAACCTTCCTACTCTATATTTGATTTTTTCTTTTGCTGCATATTTTTGCCCTGCTTTAAATCCATTCTTGATTTTTTTTTTTTTAATGTCCGTACATTTATATTGTATGGACCGAGAAAAAAGGGTGAAATGCTGCCCTAATTTATTTTGCACATGTGACCAGGCACATCGTGTACGCCGCACACAAACATTAAGTGTCGTTCATGTCCTCCAAACACAAGACTACATCAGGTCTTCATAGTTTTCAAAGTGAGGCGGGCCGGTTGGACCAGTTAGCTACTGCAGGTGTTAACGTTCAAAACACTACGTTCTCTAAGAAAGTGTAAGCCATCCTGTTTGACTGACAGAAAGCTTTCAACACAACCGTATTGACACATAGGCTAGAAAGACTGTTCTCAGACGTCACACATGAATATACATAACAGGAGACATCACCAGAAGATGTTTCTGTAATGACATTGTTAAGTATGACATATTTGGACAATTAAGAGACGTTCATGCTGCTCCAGGCTGTGTACTCGACTGTTTTCTGATCATAAATGTTCAATTGTTTTCTACCACAGAAAGAAAATAATGATCATGGTGCTCTCGAGGGCCTGGATTGATGGCACCTCAAAGAAAAAGAAGTGAAGTGAGTTAAGTGCATGGAAACTGAAGCAAATATTGACTGAGGAGAGTTTTTCAAGAGTGGACAAAATTCAAAGGGCTCAGAGCCTTTGTCAGTAATCGAATGCAGAAACCACTCTGCAAATATTCTGTATGAGACATCTAACACTTTAAATATGCTGTTAAGGGCAATGAAGGACTTATTAAAAAGATACAAGTACATACTCTATTAGGGCCAGAAGATAATATTTAAAAAATCCAGATATTTGTTCATTTTTTATTCATTTGGAAATTCATATTTGAGATTTTTTAGGTTGTGATTTAACATTTCTTGTAGGAAAAGGTGTCAAACCTTTGTGCCTTAAATGAGACAAAAATACATGTTCTGCATCTGAGCCGAGAACAGCTAAATGTGTTTCCTATACGCAACAAACAAATGAAACCTTTAAGTGAAAGTGAACTGAAGGGAGCATCACCATTATGTATCAGGGAAAAACTATAAAGAGTAACCCATGAATGAATACGCTACAGAACCTGGACAGGTGTCACTTTGATCGGAATAAATCTTTACCAGACACATCTCCACTTTGATCCGTCATAATCTCAAACGCACAGATGTCTCTGATATTTTAATGTCTTCCTGGACAACCCTCTGAACTCTCAGCCCCTCTCTTTCACTCCGCATTCAGTCAAAGCCTCTCATCAGATAGCTGTTTGATACTGTGGAAAATTTGTTTGACAAAAGCTATCAGGAAGTAAACATGTAGGAGTAAAACCAGAAGGGTATGGTGGATATCTGAGCTTGTTTTGTCTCAGAGGGAAGCCCAGATGGGCGGCATGAATATTCATATCTGTGGACTGTTTCCAAATCACCTGAAATCTGCATGATTATCAACCGGAAAGGTGTGTTGGGTTTAGATTCATAATCAAAGGAAATAATATGCATATGCCTGACACTACAAACGCCAATAAACACATCCTGTTGAGGGGAGATGAGGGGAGTGGATCATTGTATAACTTTGCAGAGTTTTTGTGTAATTCTTAGCCGGAAAATATGCAATTTTAATTGTTTTGTATGTAACCCACATAATAGCAATTTTAACGTAGTTTTGTTTGGTACCAAGTTGCATTTGTTATTGTACGTAGATACTTTGATTAGTTGGATTACCATGACATTTTGTAATGAGCCCGATTCTTCCCTTTACATTGACATCATTATACGTCCGTCCAATCTTTTGAATCCTTTTCCCTGGATTTAGACTCTCAGGCTACAGACAGTCTTCCCCATTTCTTGGAGGTTTTTAGAGGGCTGTACAAAGCCTGAGAAAAAGTGTATTACTTATTGTTTAAAAAGCCCTGAAACATTTTATGCATTTTTTTATTCAAAAAGATAATTTTGTTAATATTCTCCGAAAACATCAGACTCAATCAGTAAAGCACAGACCTCTTACTTCAATCAAATATTTTTTTTAAATATATTTCATAAGTTTAATTGTGCACCCAATAGAGTGCCACAGTGACGCGTCCTAAAACCCGGAATTAAGTTAGCATTTTACCACTTCCGGGTCCTTCGCCAAAAAGCAATGCAATTTCTCCATAGGGTTTAGGAAAATAGCTGGAAATAAGGTCTGTGGTTGAAACACATTGAAGAGACGGATCACGTTTTGTTCTACGACATTAAATCCATCAGCAGTGACCCCACTGGTGATTTCTGAAGAGTTTCTACGATGGTTGTTAACAAGTGGCTGAATAGGACTACAGAAGTTCTCGAGGCCGTTGTACGTCATTACACCGAACACGTAAAAACACTCCCGCTAAGTTTGTTTGCCGTGTTCTGTTTGAAAGCAAGTACCTGCCTCCTGCAAACTGTTCAAACAAACGCTTCAACTCGTACCATTTAGAATCTGTAGTTTTGAATATGGATCTTAAGTTGGTGTGACGTTGAAGCAGCGACCCTGCTGTAGTTCCTTTATAGCATAACGTTAGGTGTGCCTTGGCAGTCTCTAGATTTATGATTAGAAAATTATGAAAGTAGGGTAGACTTGTGGATATTATCCGGCTGAACAAAACGTGAACCGTCTCTTAAATGTTTCTAAACCACAGACCTTATTTCCAGCTATTTTCCTAAATCCTATGGAGAAATTGCATTGCTTTTTTGTCGAAGGAACCGGAAGGAGTTTACTTCCGGGTTTTAGGACGCGTCACTGTGGCTCTCTATTGGAATCATATAGTGAGCCAGTTTTTTATTTTGTATGCAAAATGACATCTGGTCAAATGAATATGTTGTTATTACCTAGTGAGATTTGCCTCAATTAATAAGATAATTCCTCCCTCCGGAGTACCTCTGCTGCTATGATCATTTTAATGTTAACTCCAGTGTGCGTGAAATCGTCAATGCACACCATGCATAAGAATGATTACAACAATCGAAAATCATTAAATTGAGTAAATTGCACTTCATGGCTCTTGAATAATGTGCTCATCATCTCAGACTATAAATTGATGCTCAAGTGAGTCAGTGCACGGCTTCAGTAGGTAAAACAAGAGGTGTCATTTTCATAGAGCAAGAGTTAGATGGAAAAGGTGTTGTCTCTTCAATCCAAGATTCAAGTAAAATACAGCAATGATGGGTAAAAATGGAACTCTAAATTAAAAATGGAAAGGTCTTGATGCTTAGCGACACATCTGGACTATTGACTTCTGAGCCCAGATGCTCTCCTCCTCCTCTTCACCGAGCAGACTCATTAACTGAACTCCCACAGTCTCATCTTTCCCCGAGAAGATTTACAGTTTGATAGACAGTCAGGGAAAAGAGAGCGTTGCACCACACAAGGCTGTCAAAGTAGGGAGATGTACAAGGCTCTGCCATGTTCTGCTTCTTTCTTCATTTTAATTGCGCAATCCTGCAGGGCCTTATGTTTTTTATGGACAGATCTAGGAACATCCCTGAGTAGTATTTCCCATGATGCTCTAAGAAATCTTGTCTTTGGCTATGTATCCATCTACTTGGGGGGGTTTTAGCCACAAAGCAGCATGTATCGGTCCTCAGGGGGCATGTAGAACGATGGATGGCTTTCCTAACGCCGAGCAATCCAGACTGTAGCAGCAATAAACGTTTATTTCCTGGCCTTTTGCCCAAGCTAAACTCTTCTGCCTTTTTTATTGTGCAGCGAGGAGCAGGGAAATGATCATGTTAATTTAAACTGATGGCATATCACAGACACCGACATTATTTACAGTATCTTAGTCTAACGATATCTCTATTTTCCATACCATTGACCCATTGACTACCATTGATTTTTTTGCACATGCTAAATAATGGCTCCTGGTCACCTCCTAATATTTCATTCATATCCCAGAAACCACCTTTACAGCTTTAGCCCAGGGGTCAAAGCATTACATGACAAGATTTAAGAACTCTGTTATCTATCATTAGCTAGACTCTGCCCCCCCCCCCTCCCCCTTGGCATATTTCTACTTGGATAGTTAGAGGGATAAATCCTAAAGGTCCAGTCACACCATGATTTTTTTTTTAGGCAAAGTCTATTCATTGGAATAAATAATAAACAAATCCCATCTTTACAATGCTGACCTTTAACAGTATCAAGTAAGGCTTGACGTCTGAGACCAACTTCCACAAGCTATAGTAGCTAACAGACAAGCTCTGCAAGAAGCTGCTACGTCACTTAGCTCTGACACAACACTTTCCTTTAACTGCAATACCATTTGAATTGACTAATGTATTAAGTTCCAAAATTCCCCAAAACGAACATATACCTAGCACCGATGCAAACTCACATGGTAATACAAACGCTGTTTCAATTTACTGCCCTGCTGAAAGTCTGTGGAGGAAATTTTAAAAGTTGTATCCAAATGACCAAATCAGCAAGCAATCTATGTTCCCACTGTGAGCAATCAGTGTAAACGTGGTGTGATTTCACAGCTCTAAAATATGAAGCAACTTTCTGCTTGACGATGCACATGATAATTACACAATTTCACTGCATTTAGATTGTTTTCACACATTTGGAGCCAGAGGCAAGCAGATTGTTTTCAATTCAGCAAGTGATTCAGTCTATTCATTTCTTACTGACTCTGCCCTGTTGAGATTATTGAGGCACTTCCACAAAATAAACAGATGTTTATAATTTAAATCAAATCAAAAAAATGTTTGTCAAGCAGATTAATGTACCTATTCCTGCCAGAAAGTAGTCCCACCAGTACTTACCACGTCTGCTCAGAGGCCCCGCTTGGCCAAACCAGGCGACACATGTGGCCAACAGTACCATTGCTTTTCGGGAAAGTCTTGATGGCACTGAACACTGGGTAGGGCACCATGATTATTAGCGACACCACCCACGTGGCAGCGATGACGCGGTAGGCGTGGGACCGGGTCTGCCACGAACGAGACTTCAGCGGGTTACATATGGCGCTGTATCTCTCGATGGCAATGGCCATAAGGCTAAAGGTGGAGATGCTAACTGAGATCCCTGCAGGAAAGAAAAGACAAAAAGAAAAAACGATTAGAGAATTGTTCTAGTAGTCTATTCAGGACTTCTAAATCGGCAGCCATGAGGCGTGGCCGTGTCTAAAGATAATGAAATCTGCCACATTGTGCACATAGTGCATCCGAACATCTCAAGTCAACCTTGCAATATATTTGATTAGCTGTGAAAGCATTGGCACGGTAACACATATCAACAGATACAGTAAAGCCTCATTGACGACAGCTCAAATAGAGTAGCCACATTGACTTTCAAAGACAATGAACACACCCTTACCATACAAGAAATAACAAATAACACCGCAATGTCAATCAGGCTTAAATACTTCAACACAGTTCAAGGCATTTGGAATATTACATCTATTTCCCACAATAGGGTTAGCACCTTTGTAATTATCCAAGGACACTGCTCCATAGGGTTCAGTGCAAGTTAAATTCCTTCAGAGACAAGGCCAATTTTAATTTGCATGTATGAATATGCATAGTCTGCAGAAGCAAGCCTTTCGTCTGAGGGTGAGGCCGGCTGAGACAAATAGCATTTATAAACCCATACCTGCAGCAGCCCCCGGGAATACATCAGCACACTTATTCTCCGTCGCCATGAAAAGCAAGCACATATTAATCCCCAGCCCTTGTTCTTTTACAATGGAAAGAACATGTCCTTCACAAACCATACCTTTGCATTACCATTCAAGGAAGGAAGTCGTTATGTATACTCCTATGTTCATGCTGCGACTCAAACGCCGCCATATTAACTATTTGAGTGGTCTATGACTATACAGAACAATGCATTCCCTGGATCAGCCTTTGGCGGCGGTCTTTCCTGCAAACCAATCCTTTTCATTATGATAAGCGTTGTTATCAGAAGCTAAAAGAGTAAGGATATATTGTCGACTGCAAAATGTGTAACTACGAAAAGAAAGGGAAATGTGAGAATTTGATGTAGAGTCAGATATAGAACGGCTCCATCAGATTCATGCTCCTACAGAACAAAGGAGCTGACTACTAGGGATACTCCAGAACAAAGAGAACGTCATCATCACGAAAAGACGTATGGATGCCTTTTATGCTCCGTGAGCAGACCCAAACTGAGACAGAGACTCTGCTGTGAATTATTAAAAGCATTTCAGCTCTTTGTGAGAAAGCACTTTTTTTGGATTGCTGCTCCACTTACATGAAACCTGACAGGATACTGCATCCAACCAAATTCACTGGCTTTAAACTTGGGGTTTTGAAATTGTGAATCCTAACATCCAGAGAGCGATGTGAGGCACTGATAATCTATGAGGTGAAGACGACTAAAGTTATATGATATAGCACGTTTACCAACACTTTTCAGTTGATTTCAGTTTGCCTCAGAAAAAGTACCGCCTGAATGCTTAACTAATTGAAATCTCAGCACGGTCATTTTAAATTGTAACATAACAATCTCCAAAGCTATGTCTATCTCTGATGTCGTAAATCACAGATAATGAGAATGCCAATGATTATCGATAAATCCACTCATTGAAAAAACTCCTTATAACTCCTGAACTTGGCTAAGAATCATTACTTTAGTATTTTCCTTTAGTATTAAAGTAATTCAGTGATAATTGTCAGCTCTGTTAACAACTAATTGTCAATTTAATGGCTTAAAAGGCAGAATGGGTTGTTAAAATGCTCCATAGTAGAACACGTTTTTTCTATTTTGGTCAAAGAGCCTTCACTGTCTGCAGCAGTAAAGCCTTCCTGTCCGATACCAATCAACTAAAATAGCCAGCTCCAGCTCGGACTGAGCAGAAGGAGGTGGGTGGCACAGTCAACAGATGCGGATCTCAACAGTGCACCGGCACTGTATGAGTCCTGCACAATAAGTCTCGCACACCCACGCGTCTCTTTCAAGTGCTGAGCACAGGCACAGACCAAATCACACACTGGGGGTTTTCTTTTGTTGATGCTTGAAGGCGGTCATGCCCAGCCGCAGCGCCGGCTTACACAGATTGTGAAAATGCCGAACGCAGAAAGGTACGAATGGTTTGTCTTTTCCTCAAAGGAACGATACAAATAATGAGTAGAAGATGAAAGACGAAAAGCATTATTTATACAGCACTTTTGTAAAGTGCTTTACAAAGCAAACAGACACACTGCAGGATTAAAAGACAGGGAATTATACAGAGAGCATTACAAACAATTGTAGGTAAATGCTGATAGTATTATTAAAGAAACACTTTTAAAGGCCTTACATAGAAGAAGTTGTAAAGGAATTGTTTAATGAATGTGAAAAAGCTTGTTCACTTCTTTCAGAGGGTTAGACACTAGTAGTTTATGTGTGTCAGGTAAACATATGAAGCTACAGGCACAAGACTATTTAGCTTAGCATAAAGACTGGTAACAGGCGAAACGGATATTATATCGAAATGAGTCTCCTAAATGGCAACCACACCAAACATTAGCCGCCTTTAGCTTAGCGGTGGTGACGCAAAGCCAAACAACTGTGATGTAGTTTGTTTATAGCCTTACGTTAGCATTACTTATGGAAATTGCATGTATGCTTCAATAATATGTAAAGATTATCCTGCAGAACAGAAAAATGGAAGTACCAAATCCCAGGTCAGCCTACAAAAATGAATGTATCCCTGCAGAACTCTTAATGGAAAACCTATCAGCATCACTGAAACTAGCTAGTGTAAAACTTCGACCCAAGTTTTGTTGCATTCTGTTATTTTGAAAAACATTTTGAACAGGCATATAAAATAAATCATTATTTTTTTGCAAAACAAACATAAAATGCAATTTTTCAATGCAGGATACATGAAAAAGAGGCGATAGATAGAGAGCCCTATTAGACGTCGGATCCTGTGTGAAACAAAGCCACGTCTCCAAATGAGCGATGTTTTCAATCCCTAGACTTATAAAGACTGATCGCTCGGAGGTTTGTGCACTTTCATACTGAAAGGAAGTGCACTTCCAGGTGATCTATGGCACTGATACCGCAGTGATTTGAATTGATGACACAGTAAAATGTACGCAGACAGCTCTAAGACGAGTGTGCATCTAGTCTGACGGATTATGTTCCTGTCCAGGAGCATAATAGGACCTGCATTCATCAAACCTCTCAGCACCTCAGTCCTGGTTCACATGACAATTTGTTTTATTACTGGAAGGGGAAGTCAACACTGATAAGAGATCAGCGGCAGTGATAAAGCAATTAGTTTGGCCTCTGAAGAAGAGTTATGGAAATCTTTAACACATTTAAATGGACCGCAGCAACTGAAGAATGTATCAATACTCTATAGGAGGCAGTCAGCTCTTCAATAACACTGCTGCTCATGTTGAACAGAAAGGACCCATTATACGCATGTCTCTATTTTTTTTGTTATTGTGGCAGAAAGTATGTTCTAGTTGAGTTTTCTGACAGCCGTGCCAATCAAAGCTTCCACCCTTGGAACCTGGCAGTATTCAGAGGCTATTCTTAGAGGGGAGGATATTCTGCTGTAATTATGAACAAGTTGGAGCCAAGTTAATTACCAGCCAACTAACCGACTAAATGCTCACATGTTGCCTCTGCGCTGTATCTTCTCTCCTCGGGAGGAAGCAGCTCTAATCCTTTTTCTTGTTCATTAAGTCGGGCGAACACTCCACACTTCTTGATAACTGGCTTTTGAGGGAAACTGTGAAGGCTGGAGTCGAAGGTCTTTCCGCTCACCTCAACCCAGGGGAAAAGATTTACATTCCTTAGCTGAAACTGCGCCTGTTATTTCTCAGCTTACACCAAACTCTCCAAGGTTTCCATAAAAAGGCAGAAACAACTCTACAAGTGGAATTAATGTGCGATAGGTGCCAGACGTGCTTGCAGACAGTACTGAAAAAGTTTGCTATAAGCCACGAAAATGAAAATACATTATTCATACTGCACCTCTAGTAAGTTAGTGATTGCATCATACGATCAGCAAGAAAAACACAAACATGGATGTGTTCGAAGGCTGCACGCGGAATATTACAACATCGATCTGGTAACTGCCAGCGAAACATTAAGCGGGCTATTATTCACATGATTATCGAGCGAGGGACAGATAGATGGATACATAGATGGACAGTGGAAGGATGGATGGCGTATTATATGTCCAAAGGGTGTGTGCTAACGGATGAGTTTGCAAAGGATAGATGAGTTTGCCGAACAGGTTGAATGAGTGAGGACGGTCAAGATGACCCTGTGTATTGATTGGCTGATGGAAGGCTTTGCTCATGAGATGCTCAGATCACAGGGAGCTTTGATTGATATGGATTTTACTAGGCTGATATTTGTAGAATTTAAATGAACAATTTTCACATCAAGAATTACGATGATTCTGGGTTCACTGCAAAGGGAGAATCAGACATGCTGTCCTTCTGGGGCTGAATTACTTATTGGTGGAGCCATGGTCTAGAGCAGGGGTGTCCAAACTACGGCCCGCAGACCATTTTGAATCGGCCCTCAGCTAATTCAAAAAGTATAATGAAATGTGGCCCACAAATGAAACTTCTGCTTGTCTTATATTGTACTTCATAAATATATATGTTCAAATATATTACACAGTATTCATGTGTTGAATCTCCCAATTTTCAAGTCAATTAAAGTTGGAAACATTTTCTAACAAATCTAAGCTGATAAGAAAAAAGCCCCAATAACTTATTTCCACAACAACCTTGAAATATACCCTTCCTATTTCCTCTTATGAAAAGCAATCTGAGGCTTCTGTTTTAAGGAATGAGCTGCTAACACAATAACTGAAACCCTCTGGAGAGCTGTGAAGCATTTTCAAGTATCAAGAATCATTTACCTACATCGGATTGAATTCTCCAACTTATACCTTAACTTATGAGGCAATATAAGTGACCTCTAGTGAATGGCCCAGCCCTTCTTATGTTTTTCTGTATGTGGCCCTCGTGGAAGAAGTTTGGACAGCCCTGGTCTAGAGACAAATGTGCTTGGACTACAAACGCCTCTTTTTCATGCCTATGCCTGTGACAGCCATGGCTAGAGGCATTGGGTTTTCAGGGACCATGTGCTGCGGACTGCTTGGTGAACACCATATCTCCAGAACGCCTTGAGGGTGTTTCTTCAAGTTTGGCACAAATGTCATGGATGAACTGATTAGAATTTGTAGTTGGAAGTTTCTGCCCATAACGCAATCATTAATTAATTGTTGTTAATAATGTCCACCAGGTTTAGTGATGTTATTTTGGACTAGCATTGAACTGCAACTTGACTGACAATTTCTTTTTGCCATTTTCCATTTATTTCACAGGGTGAAGTCCAGTCCTGACATGCAACAAAGGTCCCATCCTAAGGCCAGCATTGTTGAAGGTAGGTCATGCCTGGTAACTAATCCCAAGGCCCACCACACATTACTGTTTAAAGGTCATACATAACAAGATTCAGAACGTTGTAAGAGAATTGTTAGAGAATGAAAACTATGGGCAGAAAACACGAAGTACCACCAAGAGAGACTGTAGTATTTGTCTAAATTCCTGCTTATACCAGCTGAACTAAGCTCCTTTTCTGTTTGTGGGGTCTTGCAGGGTTTCTTTTTTAAAGGCTGGCCTCCTTCTTCCTTCTTCCAGCTGCTGGCCGGCTCTTGATCTAGCTGACAGTCGGAAAGCTCACTAGTACTCGTTTTCCATCTTCAACTCTGAATAGACTCAAATGCAAATAGTACTGTACAAGCTTTAAGAACCAGATAATTTGCAATTATTTTCTTTAAAGGTCACCTATCATGCTATTTTTAGGCAATAGCATAGGTCTCAGATATATACAAATATATAAAAAACATGTCTATGAAGTGTTTTGCTCAAAATACCAAACAGGTCACCCATTCTAGCCATGCCTCATATCCCTCTATTTCACTTCCTGTTTCAAAAGTGCTGATTTGGGGTATAAAGCTTTAATTTTTTTACAATTGATTTATAAAAAAAAAAGGAGGGGTCTGAGCTCATGCGGGACCCGGCAGCTACTGTCTAAACTAAATACTGCCGTGATGAAACGCTACATCATGGATTATCAAGGATCACTTCTGAAACAATATGGAGCTCAAAGGCTTTCTCTCTTGCCGGTTATACCACAAGGTGAGTTCCTGTTTATTTCCTGCTTCTTCACACACATGCTCTCCAGTACAGGTTAGCTCTGAGTGTTAGCGATGCTAGTGTAAACACCGACCGTATTACGTCCAAAACAGTCGGGCATTGTTTCTGATAGCAACGTTTCTGATTGGGCCGTGGGTCCTCATTTCAGATATTACGTCATATCGGACGCAAATCTGGATCAGCTCCGTTGTAGCCCCGTTTTTAGAGATTTGGGTACGGAGGAAAAGAGAGAGGGTTTTATTTTAGACGCTGCGTGAGTTCCCCGACACACCGGGGACCAGTGTTGGGCAAGTTACTTTGAAAAAGTAACTAGTAGTAATAGTTATAGTTACTGCTCTCAAAAAGTAACTAGTTACTTTATTAGTTACTAAATTATAAAAGTAACTAGTAACAAGTTACTTTACTTTACTTTAAAAATAATAACAATAAAAATACAAGTTTTTGTGTTGTTTTTTGCTGACTAGTTCTCTGAAGGCATGCAACAGACTCGACCGTTGCGATGGGCAGCGTGTCCTCAACAACGTACCTGGCAATCAATCTGTTTAGTTGACTCTGGGTGACATGTGGCGATTTAAAAAAATCGTTTTTTGGCTGTTTAGATGGTGTTGCTCCATCTGGGTCACTGCCGGTGGTTGAGACGGTGGGGTCTTTGGTGACTAGTTTTATAGCCCCATGTACATTACTTAGGTGCTTCAGGAGATTGGCATTGCAGTTTTTCGATGTGGACAATGCTTTCTGTCCTGCACACAGTTTACATTTTACCGTAAATTTTTTGCGTCCTTTATCCACACAAATTGAAAATAGTGGTTATATTTCCAAGTTGCAAATGCGCTGCTGCTCTCGCTGATACTTGCATCTGCCATTGTGTGTGTGTGTGCTAGTGGTGAGCGTTGCCGTGTGTGTGTGTGTGTGTTTTAGCATTAGCAAGTGTTCGTGTGTGTATTTTCCCCATAAGGCAAGACCCGCCTAACTCTGTCTCTGATTGGCTTACCCTGAAATGTTACCCCGCATCACTTCCCTCTGGTTACTTTCACTTTTCCATGCTGCTGTGAGAGGACATCGCTGTATTCGCCTGTAAGTTACATCCGCAGGGAGATTCGGTTCAGTTCCATCACAGGATGTAACGCAGTAACGCACCCATTTAAATCACAGTAACTACAACGGCGTTACTTAATGGGAATAGGTAACTAGTAACGCTATTAGTTACCGCAAAAAGTAGTTGCGTTACAGTAACACACTGCCGGGGACACATATTTATGTATAAAGGACATCAAAAAGTGCATTTTGCAAGATAGGTCCCCTTTAACATGTATTCTTTCGGGGGCTATGGCTGCTAATGGGTCTCCCCATCATTTTATCCTTGTTGATTGAACCTCAAATACTTTTAATTCAAACCTAGACTAATGCAAGTCTTAAACATTGCAGATAACATTGTGTTCTGAGGTAGCTGCTAAAGGAAGTATCACATATACAGTGGAGGACATCACTACAAGTCATTATTCACAGTTTAATAAAATGCCAGTGTTCATATGGTGAAGTGATTTATTGTCTAAAAATCATTACTTATCAGTTTAGCACTTAACTTGAATATATTACAAGTCTACATGAAAATCGTGGACAAAACGGACAAATAACTAAAGGTTTGTGTTTTAAAGTCTGAGGATGTTGCCCCCCCCCCTCCTCCTCCTCCTCGTTCTTATCACAGCTCAGAGAACCCAGTAATTGAAAAGAAGCCTTTCCTCACAGATGGTGCATCGCATTTCCTGGACAATAATAGGATTTCGGACCTCCCCATTCAATAGCTCTGATCAACCATACAAAGCTCAAAGTGAGGCCAGGAAAGTTCCTTTGCCGTGTCGTGATGGTGTGAGGATTGCGGACCTCCCCGTTTAATAGCTCTGATCAATCATACCAAGCTCAAAGTGAGGCCGGGAAAGTTCCTTTGCCGCGTCTTGCCGGTGTGACTCAGGCCTCACGTGGCACCTTCACTCCGGCCTGATGGGAGCCAGCTCATCGAGCAGTCACACTCCTGAAGACGTGTGACTGCTCGAGCTCTTTGAGCATGATGGTTACCCTCTGACAGGCAAAATAAAGCCCCTAGAAAAGCTCTTGTAAGCCGGAGCAGTTTCTGATCGGTCGACAGCCACAAAAAAAAGTCCATATTTCTGTTCTGGGATAATAAGCTTTTTAACCCTGATCATTCTTCAACATAACAAATGGGTTCATTTCATCTTGCCTTTCCCGACAGCTCTGTTCAGTGCGATTTGGAAAATAATGGACCAATTTCCTGCGACTCAACGAGCATTTCATTTAAGAATTGACTGTGACAAATAACAGCCAGCTTGAATCCCCCTAGCAACAAACTACTGGCAGGGAAGTGAATTTTCTATCCTCACCCATAAAGTAGGTGACGGTCTTGCACATGGCCGCTCCGAAGATGAAATCCTCCAGGATGTTGGGGATGAGGGTGAAGGGCATGCAGAAGACGGCCATCATGAGGTCGCTGAGCGCCAGCGACAGCAGGAAGGAGTTGGTGACGGTCCGCATGCGCTTGTTCAGCACCAGGACCACGATGATCAGCAGGTTCCCGAAGACGCTGACCAGGAAGATGAGCGAGTAGAGCAGGATGCGGAAAGAGTCCATTTCTGAAAAAGGAAGATTGGAAGATTGATCAGAATCTCAGAAACAAAGGAAGCACATTTGTCGAAGTGAGGTACACTGCTTCAGATCAATGAGAAACACAGATTGAATTCTGCCGGAAAATATTTATTTATTTCATCAAAACATCTCTGTGCCAGTTTTTCTGGGTTTCAAGAGTGACCTCTAAATGTTTAATGTAACTGGGAACAGAAATAAATAAAAGAAGAGAAAGAACAAATAGGAGGCAGAAGAGAGAGATACTCGCTGACAAAAGACTTCCAACAAATTCACAAGACACTGAACATAATCAAATCCAAAACGTTTTCTTCATCTTTATGCAGGTGTCAGTGCTCTTTCTTGTAATCATTCAAGAAACCCACAAGATAGCGACACCTCGAATAATACAATAAGACGTTAATATGAAAAAAATGACATCAATATACGAAGAGAACATGCTCAGGTTTTTCACCTGGGAAATTACACTCCGGGCGCTAGTGTCGTACCAGACAAAATTGTTCTGGTGACAGTACTTTCCTGCTCCGGCTGTGTGCCAAATTATAATTAGCAGCAATATATGAAGACAAACAACATCATGATCAGGTGGTGTCCTGGGAAACGAGCTCAACATGGAAAACAAATATGATAATTAAAGATTTTTAAACATCTTTCCTTTTCCTAGTGTCATATAGCAATAACCCAACATGAACATTTCTCTGTTGGACAATTCCATGTAAGCAAAACTACGAATTTAAATATCATACACATTTCAGGTTCATATTCGTATTTCGTGCTTGTCCTATCACGTTCATGCTTTCATGTTCAAAAAGTGCGTTTAGAGACCATTTACATGCACAAAAACCTTTTTAACACACTACTACAGGAAAGGAAAACCCCCCCCAAAAAGCATCATAGCCTCTTATGATAAAAAACAAATATAGTTTTTTCACATGGCTTCCTTGTTCTTGCCACACAGTTGAGCATCAGTGAGAGCATAATGCCAACCGGAGGGTTTTTGGGATGCTCCCTTCACTCACAGCGGCTTGTCACTGCGAGTCTGTGTGTGAATGAGAGTATCTAACAGGACAGGGTCAGGTCCATGATGTAAGACAGGGACTTGGAAGAAGGCTAAAGGTCCTCAGCACAGCCTGCAGACACAGAGCCAAATGTCACCTTGAAGGCAAACAGTGCTGTATGCTCCATCAGAATAGGCAAACTAGAAGGCTTTACCATGTGGTTATTCCATCTAGACTTTGTATTTATTTAATAACCTTAAAAACGCTATGAAAATACACACTCTCCCTGCAACTCATAAACACACTGGCCTATTTACAGACATGATTCCTGAGCATTGGTCCTTATGAATAAAATAGCGGATGTTTTTCAACACCTTTTGAGGGAAACTGTCAGTCTCCAATACATATCTAACGGTTCAGGAATAAGACGTTATTGCAAGTTTTGTTTATCTACAATCTGCAGAGGAAACGACAAAGATAAAAGCAGGCGAGGGATTTAAAACCCAGGACAAGAGCAGGATGCATGTTAATCACCTCTGCCGTCAGAGACACCCAGTCCCCCTCAACTGCAAGTATGAATTATTCTTTTGATGAGAGAATCCTCTGGTGGCTCTGGGACCAGTTCCATCAGAAGATTCAGTTAACGGTCCAGTTAACCTAAGCAACATCCCCCCTTGTTTCACTCTCTGAAAGATACATTTTAAACACAGGTGACAAGAGTTTTGATTTACACAAAAGCATTATGGGGAATATGCATAATCAGCACTCGCTTGGGAGACTTCCTACACAAACACAGAGCAGGTAGCCCCAACTGGCCCCGCAGCTTCTTTTATGTTGGATCATAAGCCAGTGGAAATGGAATGATCTATTCATTGAGCACCAGCGCTATGTTGGCCCCCCCTGGGCTTAAGGACTGCAGGACAATTCACTTTGGATCCTTTGACTCACCCAAGCGTGACAGCATTCAAATCCTCTATAAATACATGCCTATAGAAAGATGGCCTCTTTATGAAGCAGGAGTTGTTGACGTGGAACATTTTTGCCGTGACCCAGGGCGGAGAGATCAACGCCGTTTATGTGAGGGTTGTGGCTGTTTATTTAAAAACTGTTTGCTCTACTTTCGCTGTGTATCCTTTCAGCTGCTGCCATGCAAACTGTAATTAAGTTTCATCACTTCACTTAGTGTTATCTTTAGGAGAGGACTAGCACAACTTTAAAGACACGACGAGGCATTTATAAAGGCATTCATTAAGGGATGTGGAGGAGACTCCTGTTCAATCCCACTCCAACAAAACATTCCTGTCCCGTGGCATTCCCATGCAAAGGTTATGCTAGGGGTGTCAAACTCAAGGCCCGGGGGCCAAATCCGGCCCGCTACTTCATTTTCTGTGGCCCCACAAAAGCTTGCAAAGAATATAATATGTTTATTATACGGTTACATGCCGATTTACAGAAGCACATTGCCCATACATGGAGAACAATGCATCTCAAATATGCCTTTTTTTCTCAGAATTTGACTTTTTTTCTTCAAAATATGACTTTTTTCTTAGAATTTAACCTTTTTTTTACCTTTTCTCAAAATGTTACTCTTTTTTTTTTTTTAAATATCACTCTTTTTTACTTTTTTTTCCCTCCAGAATTGGGCTTTTCTTTTTAAATCATTTTGTGACATTCTCACTGAAGAGACTCCCAATTATTTGCCCTATCTTCTGCTTTCACATTAATTAGTTATTACCCTATCCGATAGTAATCCAATGCAGAGGCAATAATGTAATACATTATTTTCTATATATTAAATATTTATTTATATATGTATTTTTATATAGTCTTAAAGTTAAAACCGGCCCTTTAAGTGCAACCATAATGCGAATGTGGCCCGTGATGAAATTGAGTTTGACACCCCTGTGCTACACCCTTTAACCTTTGGAGCATGAAAGTCAGGCTAGTACTTTTTCCGTTATTCTGCTTGCAAAAGAAGAAAAAATATCACCACTTTGTCTGAGATCATTAACGATCAGTAATAATCTTGGGCGAGGACTGAGATGTCACAATTCTGAACTACCTTTCCCCTTTTAATCAAAACTGCCTTAAAGCAATATTTTATACCCAGCCCCTCTGAGATGATGAAATTGTAGAAATGACTGTTAATGCCGTGCAGATCTAATGTTATTCTTTATTACAAGGGAGCAGAAAGCCCTTTGGAAATGAACCTGTAGAGCACTAGACACGAGTCAGGAAATGAGACCTGGACTTTTGGGAGTCTGCAACTAATTCCCTTTTCTTAATTATGTTATGTCAAACTTATATGACATGGTCCTGAATGTGCGAGCACTTTTTGTCCTGGTGAATGACAAATGGTATTAATTGACTGTTGATCAATTGATGGACTGTTTGTTTCAGCACCATTTTGAACACAAATATCCAGTATTTCCACATTCTGTTGTCGTCATTTTTTGTTCAAACATGCTTTACAGAACTTTTGACCACTAGTTGCACTCTTGGGCTATTCTTTTAGGAGTTTGTCCCCAATTTGTTCAGAAATTGTACATTTTCTAGCAGCCAGTTTAATGATGGCCCACTGATGATGAGTTAATGGTGTGTCTCTAATGTGTCTTTTGAAGGGTTTTTGGAAAGAAATGCGTTGAATTGTAAAGCTATAACGCTGATATGTTCAAACACATCATCCTAATATTCAGTTTGGCAGCTTTAATATTACAGAAATCAGTCACATATGATTACATTTCATAGATCACTATTCTGTTGAGAGCAAAACATCGTTAAAATACATTTCCATTATAATTACAAAGAGTCTCTTTCGGAACGTCGGAGAAAAACATACTTTTTAGAGATAAAAAGTCCTCAAGTCAAGAGACAAACAAATATATCAATGTCAAAATGTTCCCACATCCCGGACGGTGTAATCCCTCAGTGACAGCAGAGGAATAGAATATAAGACGATCCAACAATACAGTAGCTACAGTAGATTGCATTTTCACATTTGATTCGATGTTATCATTTTTGCAGGAAGAGAAAATAAAAACAAATCAACCATCAGATTGTTGTGCTGTAAGATGTCATTTACCTTCTATGGTGTTTATCCGCTAGCTAGCACACACAAATAAAATTGGCTCCATTCGACTATGTTTTGAAATCGAATAATTACATTTTTTCTAGAAGGCTTTCCAAGTACGAATACTGGCTTGTTATTACACATGTGTTTCCTTATAGCCATTAATGGTGGTGTTTTGGAGTCATTTCATCCCTAACTAGTAAACACTCCAAATTGGAATACTAACATGCTCGGTATGAATGTTTCCTCGGAGGGGGAGGTTGCTTTCGATGCCAGAAATGTGTCGACACTGCCAATAAATCAGCATCTTACATCACACAGCGCTGGCTGTAATCCCTATCATTCTCTCGCTGCTTGTCACAGCTAATCAGTCGTGCCTCTTCTTAAATCGCAGTAGAAAGTTTCCAGAGTTGACGCCGTGTCTCGCATGCTAACAGATCCCATCAAAAGATAGGGATTGTGCCTTTGACCTTTAAATCAAAGAGTACAGGCACGGTCACTGAATGCCAAGCTTTACTTTGTGTAAGGTTGATAGACTAAAGGTATCAAACTGAATCTGTGGGATTATAACAAAAATACAGTTTCTTATTTAGCGCTGGAACAAATTAAGAGACAACTGGTTGATTATTAGTTTATCTAGATAAACATTTTATAGGTATGTGTTTAAAGAGGCCCTATTATGTTTTTAGGAGTTTCCCTTTCCTGTAGTGTGTTATAGGTGTGTGTGCATGTGGTCTGCAAAGGCTCCAGAGGTAGTTCCTCTCACACACATCCCCCCCCCCGTCTGAAACACCCCATATATTGGACTCATTTGATCACCTCCGTAGCATAGTGACATCACTATATAACACTCACGCTTCTATTGGCTAGCGCTCCAACACATTGTACGATTACAGTACAGTTGACAAAACAAATTATTTGG